CCAGTGTCCTTGGGGGTCTCATCTTGGATGAGGATGGAGCAGGCTCTGAGGCTGGGCAGTGGGCGTCAGCCTCTCCCAGCGCTGGGCTGCCTGGGCCCGAGACATCTTTGCAGTGCAGGTGGCAGCGTGTGGGACGCGAGTCACAGAGCGGGGAGCCCACTGCAGGGCACTTTACACCAGTGCCGTGTGCTGCTTCGTGCGTGGGATGTGTATGTGTGGTGCTTGTAGTGATTGTGTATTTACAGACAAAGCACAATGAATGCTTAAAAAAGCTGTTACTACAGTGCTGTTACTGTCAGAATCCTCCCTCCCTTTGAGCACACTCACCCATGATCCTTGCCTCTTTCTTCAGGCAGCTCTGGAGTCCTCTTTCCTGAGTGTCTCCATGAGGTGTGGTGGAAAACACAGTGACTGCTGCTGCCGAGCACCCTCCACCAGAAAGGCAGCTCATAAAAACGTGACGCTGTGTCCTTCGTCACCAGATCTGGCACTGTGTGACTTCCGGTGCTTCCCAAAGTCAAAATGACCCCGAAAGGGAAACATTTTGAATCCATTCAGGTCATTGAGGCAGCCAGGACAGCGCAACTAAAGACACTCAGGAAAGAGGGCTCCAGAGCAGCTGTGGGAAGTGGCAAGGACGGTGGGATGAGTGTGTCCAAAGCAAGGGAGTGGGATGTTGAGAGGGATTCATGGCAGTGTCTTTTACTGTAATGCATTTTAAAAATCTGAACATTCACCATGTTTTGATCGCACTTCATATAAAACTCAGTTGATTTCGATCCCCGGTACCAAAAAAATAAAAAATAAAAAATAAATAAAACTCACTCGATGGTTTCGCTGTGACCCCACTGAAGGGTCCAGGAGAGAGGAGGACCTGTCCCCATTTCCTAAGGGGGAGTCCCTCGGCTGTAGCTGAGAGGTTACATTGCTGGTGACGGAGCCTGTGCAGCCCTGAGTCCCCCAGCGAGTCCCAGAGCCGTGGGGTTGGCTCGTGTGTGAAGGTGTAGACATGGGGACCCTTCTGGGTGCCCAGGGAGCTGCACAGGCTTGAGGTGGCTGCCGGGGCATCCAGGACCCTACCTGAGCTCCGTGCTGTGCAGGTGAGTGTCCAGCCTGACTGCGTGGGACGTGGAGTCCACCCACGGAGTGGGGCATGCAGGCAGAGGAGAGAGTTCCAGGTGAGCTGATCTGTAAAGTAGGCTGTTTGGAGATGGATGTATTTTGCATACTGTTCCACATTTCCTTCTCTTGGCATGAAAAATACAAAACAAGGTTTCTGACTTCAGATGTAAACTTTTTATAGTGGACAATAAAACACATGTTTTTCACATTTGCATAAATCATACATACGAAAATGTGCTAAATCTGAGAAAAGAATCACTGCTTATAGAATAGTTGCAATTTTAATGCAAATTCTATCACTCAAGTACTCCTATTAGGGCAGAAGCATAGTGCTTGGATTCCCATTTCCAGATGACTCGAGAAAAGGTTTGGGCACTTGTGACTTGCGGATCTGATGTGCGTGGCTTTTTATCCTTGTAAAGGGGAGGATTCCAGTGTCGGACACGTTGAGTGATGCTCAGATTTCCTCAGGACTTCTGTACCCTGCAGAAGGCCACAGGTAAAAACTAATTCTAAGCCATGCCATGACTGGCCTCCTCGTCTTGAGTGGGACTGAGACAGGGTTTCGTGGGTTTGCACACAGCGTTGTTCCGAAGCGTGTGAGCGTGCACGGAATTTCCACAGGGCCGTCCTCCAGCTGCAGGTCCAGGCATTACGGTGGCAGGTCTGTGCCCTTCTTCTCCCAGGCTTCCCTGAAGGCTGCTGTGTCTGCCTGTGCCTTAGAGGAAGTCTGGGCGAGCTTGTTCCGTGAGGATTGGGTAGCAAGTGTCCTGGGCCTCATTGCCGTAAAGTGTCTGTCATAGCCACCAGTGCTGAGTGAAGTGGACATGGCCATATGTCAATGAGTGCACAGACTGTGTTCCAATAAAACTTTATTCGCAGAAGCAGCAGGCCAGACCTGGCCACCTAGACCCTGCCCCCCTCCACCTTAGACTGTCATTGTCCTGAAAGAGGGAAGGGCTTTCTTTTCTTCTGGGTCTCAGAAGGTCCCAAGGTTTTGTTTTCCTTTAGAAAATTGTGTTTGGCTTTTGAGAAATGGCATAAACCACAAGGGGTTTTTATTTCAGTTTAGTTCAGCTTAGCTTGATGAAGGACCTCACTAGCATTGTGTGGGATTTCTGGGGAAATGAAGGCAAGTGACAGAACAGTGCTACTTAGACATAGAATCTAGGAAATAAAAGTTCAGATATGCAGAAATGAGGGGCCAGACCTTGGTTACCAAGGTGAGGAGGTTGGCAGGGGGACAGGAAGTGTCAGATGTAGGAGGGATGCTTCCGGGGACCTGCCCCCAGCATGGGGACCACAGGAATGAAATTGTACTGGCTTAGGGATTTGGGGTAGCTAAGTAGATTCTAGCTGCTTGTCACAAAAATGTAACTCTGAGATGACAGATCGTTCATCTGCTTCACCATGGTAACCATGTTACTCTGTGTATCTCATAGCATTCTGCTGGAAACCTCAAATATGCAGAATAACAGTTATTTAAAAAAGAAAAGGTAGGGTGGAAAATTCTTGGTGTAGAAGAATAGCGTGTGATGCGCAGGTCTGAAAGTGAGCCCCAGGCAGGGTGCTGGCTGCCAGCCGAGCCTGGGGTCCTTGTGCTGGGGATTAGGACGAGATCGTCCGTGGAGGATCAGGCAGGCCTCAGAGAAGAAGGCCTTGTGCTCACTCTGGCCTGCCTGGAAAACTGGCTTGTCTCGTCCCATCTCACAGTGGGCCAGGCATGTTCCAGTTCCAGCGTGGGGTCAGAGCATTTCCTTAACAACAAGCCCCAGGGCAGAATGGCTTTAGCTGCCACAGCCCCTGGCAGCCAGCAGTGGCCTCTGTCCCCCTGTGTCACCAGGGCCTTATTCACCCAAATTTCCCCTTTAGGTGATCTTTTTTCCAATTTAAAAGGAAGTTTAAGTCACCGTTTTTCTTAGAATCTCTGGCTCCTTTGTTATCACACCCAACCTTACTCTATTTTTTTTACTCTTAGAGTGTTTTGCTTTTTGTAAAGCAAGGAGATACCGAATCGTCAGGCCTATTTTTCTAGGAATTGTCCTGTAACTGAAAAGTTTATTTTCTCTCATAATCCTGTGTTTGACATGAAAACTAAACTGTGCAGCAACGTGGGGCAGGAAGTTATGTTAGCGTTCACTGGAAAGTTTATTTCTTTACTGATGTTATTTGATGCTAGGAATAAATGTACCTCTAGAAGTCCATGGTTTTGTTGTGTTGTGGAACTCAGTATTGACAGCATGGCTACTTTGAGAGGTCAAGGCTGTCAGCTGTCCACACCGCCCAGTGCCGCTTCCTCTGGACAGAACCGGGGTGGCCGGGCCCCGGGTGTGTGGACAGCACCTGATCCTGAATGTGACCTCGAAGTCACGCAGGCCCAAGCCCAGCCTCTCCGGAGACGTCACAGCGAGCAGGTGGTGGGGCCTGGGCCGGGGCTGGCTTTCTCCTGACCTCGGTGCCGGGAGCCTCAGGGTCAGGACACGTGTGTGTCCTGGGCAGCCCAGGAAGCTGTCCGCTTGGTTTAGTAGCACAGTTCTGCCGCCGTTTGTTTTCTCCTCTCTCCTGCTCCCTCCGCCTTCCCTCCTCTGCTTCCCTTCCTCCTTTCCCTCTTCCCTCGGCCTTCCGTCGTTCCCTTTCTTTCTGTCTCTTCTTCCGCTCTGTCCCTTCCTCCTCCTCCTTCCCCTCTTCCCTAACTTCCCTGCCTCCTTCCCTCCTTTCTGCCCCTCTTTCCCGCCCTCCATCCTTCTTCCTCTTCCTTCCTGTCTCTTTGAAGGGTGGGACTGCAGCAGGGTGACAGGGGCCAGGTCCCCACCCACAGCTCTGTATGAGGGCACTGAGGCTCTCGCTGATCTTTCTGATCGTGAAGAAAAGATGGGTAGGAAAGAATAAGAGGCCAAAAGGCAAACGGGGCCACGTGGGGTGCAGGCTGGGGCTCCCCCTGGACACTGGAGGAACGGCCAGTGTTGCATTGGAGGAAACAGCCGCCCATGTCTCCGTGGTGATCACACAGCATCGTTTTGGTGAGAAAGCCACACAGTTTGGTAAAAAGCAATGTGTGAAACATCAGGCTCTTCTGGGCAGTTCTGTCCTTGCCCTGGGACACAAAGGAAAATGTACTTGGAAAGGCAAAGGTGGAGCAGAGGTTGGGGTGGAGGCTGTGGGCGGAAGGGGGACATGGGAGGGGTCCCTGAGGGCACAGAGGGGACCGGGGGGGGGTGTGTGGACCCCGAAGAGTGCAGGGAATCCTGGCAGGGCCCTGCCTCTTCTTTCTGTATTTTGGAGGTGCTGGGCATTGAACCCATGGGAAGCTGAGCAACACTGCCAGCCCCTTTCAGACGTTTATCTTGAGACAAGGTCTCTAGAAGTCGCTCGGTTGCCTAGGCTCCTCCTGCCTTAGCCTCAAAGACTACTGGATGATAGGCATGGTCCACGATGCTCGGCTGTGGGAGCATCTTCTGAGGGCAGAAGCGTGGCCTCCCTAGCTCCTGCCCCGGCTCGCCGTCCCTCCTCTTGGAGAGCACACATGCACGTACACATGCACACAGGTAGCCTGCGGAGCCCGTGGGGCATGTGGACCCCTGTGGCTCCTGCTCACCCCAAGGTGCCCACTTGGAGCCAGGGAGCTGGGGGTGCAGGGACTTAGGGTGTGCACTCCGCCTCCTGTGCTAGCGCCTGAGTGCTTGCTGGTTGGAGTTGCCGCCCGGCCAGTGCAGCAGCTCAGGGCACTGCTGCTGCTGCCTCGGGCCTTGGGTTCGGTCAGAGCCCTGGCTGTTCCGGAAGCGAGGGTGGAGGCCTGCGCATGTCGGGCACCCTGGTATCTGGGCAGACATGGGTGCCACGCGTGGTCCGGCTCCAAAGACCTCTGCTTTCTCTTCCAGAGTGAAGCGGAGTGGCGTTGGCTGCACTGGCTGGCGGAGGGGATGCATCCCAAATGTTTCCTGGCCGCCCGCCCGAAGCTGCCTGCGGTTTCCTGGCTCCTCACCGGCTGCCCCCTGCCCGACCAGGACCCGGACCCTGCTCTCCGGCCACTGCTGCTCCTGCACCCATGCTGTGGCTGGAGTTTGGCTTTGAGTTTTGCGCCTAAGTTGCCCGAGGGAGGGACTCCGGAGTCGGGCCGTGTTTCCCTGTCTTCGGCGGTGGCCGCATCCCCCCTGCAGAGCAGAGCCCCCACCCGAAGCATGCTCTGAGCCCCCAGCCCCATCCCCATCCCAGCAGTGACACCGATATTTGCTGGCTTAGGCTCCGCGCCAGTCCTACCTCAGTTCAGGGGAGCCGGGTGTGGGGAGGGGCCACTCGGGCTGCGTGTCTGGGGCCTGCAACTCTGGCTTTGGAAGAGCATAGCGGGACTGCAGTCACTCTATGTGGGGAGACCTGGGATTGAACTTGGAAGACAGAGCCACAGAGTAGTTGGTGTCTCTGCAGCCCCTCAGTGTCAGAGCATGGGGTGGAGAGAGGCCCCGGAGGGCATGGAGAGCTCTTGACCCCTGACTGCTGCATGGACGCCAGGCAGGTACCTCTGCAGGCAGAAGCCACTGCCACTGGCTCAGCTGTCTGTTGTCCCGCCGAGGACTGGCCTTTCCTTAACCAAAAGTGCATGTGGGCAGCAAGCGATTCCAGGCTGGTCTGGGTTTGGCAGATTTTGTGTTTAAAATGTATTATGATCTTTAAATATGCCAGTCTGATGTTGGCCACCAAGGCTACCCTGAATTGAGAGAGAGAGAGCGCATTCTGGCTCCCTCGCTGGTCATGGGAAAGATAAAGAAGGAAAGCAGTCTTGCAGGACGCCGTGCTTGTCAGAGAAACCCTCGACAGGAGGGGCACCCTGCTTCTCTGGTCAGTGTTCTGGAGATGCCAGTGTGGTGGCCGCAACGGAAGCCATCCCTGTCCCAGAGGCTCCGGACTCGTGGCTGGACCCCGCCCCAGTGCCTGTCTCCCCTGTCGTCCTGTAGAGGCCCCACTAATTCTTGGAGATGTGACTTGTTCATTGGTTTCTTCTGTTGTTACTTTTTGTTTTGGAGAAAAAAATATTATATATATATATAAATATATAGATCTATATCATTATAGAGTAATGCATTAATGAGGCTTTGTAGAGGAAGACCAAAAATTTCAATGTCTTAAGATGTATTTAATGGCAATGCAAAAGTCTTCCTGCTTTCGTGCTGAACTCTTTAGAAGCGAGGACTGTACTGCAAGACGAAGTTGAATGTAAAGTGCTCCTGACCATTTCTGAGGTTTTGCTTCTCTGAGCTACGCGTCGCAGCCATGCATAGTTGGTTTGAAGGCCGACTCCATGTATGATACGCTTTGCTAAGATGTGTAGAATGTTCTGGAGCTTTCTCTCGTTAGGAATCGGTGGGCGCAGCACCGTGGGCCGGAAGGGAACCTCAGCTGGCGCTCCCCACGCCCCGTGCAGCCTAAATGAGCAGCCAAGAAGCTGATAATATATACTGAATTTTCCTCTATCCTGTACATTTCAAAAAAAGGCACATGCAATATTTACATGTTTTATTTAGTTTACAGAACGGAACCAAAATGTATGTTATGTTTGCAAAAATTTCACAATGTATATTGGGTCTTTGTACATTTTGCCTGACTTACCTTAAATTTAAACTATTTTTTGCTATATAAACTTTAACCGTTATTAAACAGTGTTTTCTTTTGGGTATGTATTGTTTCTGGATCTGGAGCTGTTAAATATATTTCTTGCTATTGTGTTATGTCAGCACCTCCCCCCCATCTTCCATGCTGTACATAGGGTTGGGAATGAGCCAGGCTAGAGTAGTGCATTGTATTTAGTCTGTATTGATCATGGATACCCTCCTGAATAGCCATATGCAATAAATAAAATAAATACATTATTTATGAAATGAATAAAGCCTGGAGGATGTCTTTTCCCTATGCATTCTGGGTTTAACACAAAGCTGATATACTCCTGGGATTTGAGGTCCAACAAGTAAACAGGCTCCTAAAAATACTCGATGCCTTTTAATTTTAAACGTTACTTAATTAATTAATTTTTGGAGACAGGATCTTGCTGTGTAGCCCAGGCTGGCCTCAAACTCCCGGCAGTCCTCCTGCCTCAGCCTCCTGAGTGCTTGGGATTACCTGGCATGTGGTGTGGGCCGCCACACCTGCTGCTTTTGGGAAGATGACTAATTACTGAGCTGCACCGCGGTGCGTGTGTGTCAGTTTAAGATCCTGACTGAACTGGTTCGTAGGAAACAGTAACTCCTGATTGTTACTTAAGGAGGAGCTTTTTGTGCTGAGGGCAGAGTGAAGCAGAGGGCGGATGGAGCTCAGTGGAACTCCGCCTGCCTCGCAAGCGCAAGGTCCCAAGTTTGGAGATTTTTTTTGGTACCAGAGATCAAAGAGTCTTGTCCAGAGCATGTGGCAGTGTATTCGCCAGCTAAGTAGGACCCGAAAGCAGCGGGTGCTGAAGGGGGACAGGTGGTTCCGTCTCCTCTCCACCCCGGGTGTGCGGAGCCAGGAAGGGCTGGGCCGGAGCCTGGAGAGCGGGGGACATTCGCGCCTGGGCCTGGAGTGTCGTGGCCAGCGGGAGCGGGAGAGCCCCTTCCTGGTCGGGGACCCTGGAAAGGCTGCCCAGAGGCAGGTGCAGAGGTCCGGTTGCCACAGAGGTGAGGTTGCAGCTGCCCGGGAAGGCGGAGCCTCGGCCCTCAGAGTCTCGTCCCCTCTGCAGAGCCGCGACACTGCTTCTGAGAGAAGCAGCTGTTGTGAGGCCCCATGGCACCCAGGGGTGCAGACCTGGGCCCCTCGCCCTGTCCTACTGGACACCCCACCTAGCAGTGCAGACCCGTGATGGGTAATGGGCACCACCTCTCCTCGATGTCGGTCTTGCTCTCAATCGGGTTACACACGCGTGCGCTCTCCCACCAAATGCGCCAGCCATTGGCAGTCATCGGAGTCTTGTTGATTTTCTCAAATCACTGCCTTGGGCCCAGGCCATGGCACAATGCACTCTGAAGAGGGACTTTTGTGGGTGCAGGGTGAGCTCAGGGACCATGCCCAGCCCACCCAGGGATGCCACAGCTTGAGAAAGCGAAGATCAGCTCCTGTCGCCTTGGAGCAGCACGCTCTGCCTGGCTGAGCAGGGCTGTGACCTCGCTGTCCACTCCCAGGAGCTGCGTCCGCTGGCCAGGGCTCCCCAGCCTCCTCCATGCCAGCTCGAGGACCCAACCCTGGGCTCCCATCCTGAGGAGCCCTCGTCCTCCGGGACACTCACAGGCCGCTTCCTGTCTAGGCAGGGTGCTGAGTGCAGGTCCTGTGTCTGCACGGCCTATGAAGTTCAGATGCCCCGGCTGTGAGGCTGAGTGGTGCCAGAGCATCCGGGCTGTTGCCCCACGCTTGGCCTTCAACCTAATGAAGCAAGGACCACAGAGAGCTCTGAACAGAGCCAATGCGAATGCCTGAAAATCAAAATGACCGTAAGTATGTGATCTCATTTCTATTGAGGCCAATTAGAACTTCTTCAAACTTTGAATCTGGAGCTGGTCTGGGGGTGGACACCTATGATCAGAGCAGTAGGAGGCTGAGGCAGGAGGCTTGTGATGAATTCCAGGCCAGTTTAGGCTACATAGTGAATTCAAGTTCAGCCTGAACTACATAGCAAGGCCTTGTTTGAAACACCAGAGGTGGGGGATAGACTTTGAGACTGAGCCAAAGCCTTTGCTCCTGTGGGGAAAGTGAATCTCAGATCTCTGTGTGCGGGGCTGTGATGGAAGCATGAAGGCTCCAGCTGCTGTGGGCCCACAACGCCCCCCTGTGCCGCGAGGACTGGGTGCAAACTCCTGCACCAGCTCCCTGGCTGCTCTTCCCTCCTCTTCCCTCTGCTGAGCCTGTGGTGTCTCCCTGGAGGGGCTGTCACCGCTCACGTCTCCCGGGCCAACCGAGGGTACTGGGAGGGAGAGAGCTCCCCAGAAGAGTGGCTAGATCGCGGGTACTCGGCTCCATTTTTTTATTTCTATTTTTCTGGAGAACTAGGGCTTGAACCCAGAGCATTCGCACAGAGGTGTGTCCCCAGCCCTTTTAAAACATGTTTTATTTTGAGACAAGTTCTCACTATATTGCTAAGTCACACGGATGGACTTGCAATCCTCCTGACTCAGCCCCCCAGAGCAGAGGGCTGAAGAGCACGGCCAGCCACGGCTCTTGCATGAACAAAAACTTCTCCCTGCAGGCGGGCAGGTGGGATGGCTTTTACCCTCTGCGTTCCCCTGCCATCTGTCACTGTCAGGAAGCCCTGACTCCTCCTCATTTCTATTCTCTCCGTCCACGAAGAGCTCTTCCTTCAGCAAGGCTCATTTCTCTTCTCTGATAAGCATCTGGCCTCATGTTCGGTAAGATTTACAAACTCACTGGGGGCAAATTCAGCCCGGAGCAGAGTTGGCCGAAGTCCTGACCCCATCACACGGGTACCAGCATCCAGCATGTGAGCTTCTTGACCTCGATGCTTTACTGAGGTGTAGCCGGGTGCACAAGTGGCCACTGTAAAGGTCACAGCAGCACCAAGGTGGTTGCTGCTGGGACCCGGGCAGTCACCGTGGTCAGGGCCCAGGTCCCTGCGGCGAGGCCTCGTCCCGAAGATCCTGTCAAACTGAGTCCAGGGCCTCCCGTGGCCGTGTCCGGCCTGCAGCTGTGGGGAATCAGCGCCGTGAGAGAGCACTTGGGCCTAAATGGAACCTGGCCCCACTGATGGCCAGACGCTTCGGCTCGTCTTAGTCACTAATTCTGTGATTATTATAAGTAGGAGAAGGGACCCACAGCATTTTGGGGGCGAAGATTTCAGACATCTTTCGCCAAGGCGATCCCTGGCTGAGACAGTTTTCCTGGTGTTTTTGAAATGGTGGTTGTGTTTATAGTTTCAAAAATGAAAGCTTTGGCTTTGGCTGCCTGCAGGGGCTCCACAGATGAGTGCAGCTTGTTCTGGTTTTTATGTGAGGTTCAGTTTGCCTCATGCGGATTCGCTGTTTGTGAACAGGGCCCACTTTCTTCTGAGCATGAGAACAACAGGAAAAGCTGGACTGGCAGGAAGCCCAGCTTCCCCTCGCCTTTGCATTCCGGCCCTGGCCTCTCTGGGATTACAGGGTGGTTCTGATGCAGCACAGCGAGGATGCAGGTGGTAAGTAGAGGCAGCAAGGGGCGGCGTCTGCTCCCTGCCTTGCTGAGGATGCCAGGCCCCTGGAGCTGTGTCCGCTATGGAGACCCCGTGGTGTCTCTGTCTGTGACTGAGTTTCCAACCAGGCTGGGCAGCTCAGGCCCAGGCCTCTGAGTGCCTGGCTCCTGGGGCCCCCATAGCCCCCGGGTCTCCCCAAGTGGTTCACACTTGAAGGACTCACTTCTGGGTGTCAGGGGCCACAGGAGCGGGGGGACCAGAAGGCTTTCAGCTCCCTGAATGCTCTGCATGCTGTCTCGTGGCCCTCCGACATACAGGGAATTGGTCCCACAGACACTGTCAACCTCGACATTTTTATGCCCAAACAGCTGTGAAAACCACAATAGTATAATTACAAAATCCATGTAAGGATAAATGTTATAATACAGGAAAATCAGACATCCGCTCCTTTTCTCTGAATCCAGCCATAGCACAGGCTGTGCGGTGTTTTCACTGAGCATAATCAACCCGTCCAGTGGACTTGCAGCTTTTGGGCAATGGTTTCCCTCTGCCTTGCTACTAGAATGGGCTTTTCTGGATCATAAACAAGGTGAAGGAGCCGACAGCCTTTTCCTCACCTGGCCCAGGGAAGTGGTGGATGAGAAGCACAGCTGTTGGTCCTGGAAGCCCAGCTGGGCTCAGTGGCCGGCTCCCTTGGGGTCTGTTACACAGTGAAAGGCAGCTGAGTCTTGACTCCGCCTTTGCTCTGCATTCGGCAAATCGAGCAGGCACCTGTAATAAACGGCCAACGCGGACTCCGAGTAAAGGTAAGAAGTGAAGCATTTCTGGCAGCTGCTATTGTCAACCCCCATGTATGGTGAGACGTCTGCAGTGTGGTGGAGGTGGTTTTGTGTTTTATTTTTTTCTTTTGGGGATTTTGCTTTTTAGTGGAAGAATGCTGTTTTATTTTCATTTAAAAAAAATTTTGTGGTTTAAGTTTCAAAGTTTTCATATCAGTTTTACCGCACTTAGGACAATTCTAACTCATCTTCCTTAGCTATCATCTCTCTCTCTCTCTCTCTCTCTCTCTCTCTCTCTCTCTCGACAGGGCCTTGCTCCATAGTCCAGGCTGGTCTTGAACTCACTATGTATCCCAAGCTGGCCTCAAACCTGCAGTGATCCTCCTGCCTCAGCCTCCTGAGTGCTGGGAGTACAAGCATGCACCACCATGCCTGCCTTAGCTATATCTTGCCTTACAATGATCTTTATGTGAACAGAGGATTCTTTGAACCACTGAACAGGTGAATGACCTTTGAAATATACCCGTACTTTGGCGCAAGGCAGCCAGGGAGCCGAAGGCACTGACGGCAGAGTAAGTGATTGGTTCAGCAGAGGTACGCTTTCCAAGTCAAGCCTGCCAGCTGGGAGACTCTGACACATTTTCCTCAGGGGCTGTGCGCGGGCTGCTGAGCCGTGTGTGTCTGTAACCATTGCTCTAATATTTGGAGAGGTTTGTTCTTTTATCTTTCCTTCCGGGAGTGGAGAACCGAGAGCCTGGGGCGTATTCTCCCGGTAAACAGAGCAAAGGCTACGGGTGGCAGATGCAGCCAATAGCTGGCTCTGTGCAGACAGAGATGAGATGATGAAAACAAAAATCTCTCCCACTAAAATAATTGTCTTTAATTATGGAACCAGGAACTGTATTTAATGTTTCTTCATTTGCACAAATGTTAGGAGCCCACGAGGCTGACAAATGCTAATG